TGCCACTCTGAACAACACAAATGGGATCATACTTGCAGTGCCACACTCAGCTGCTGTATATCTGCTCAAAAACTCAGACCTTCTTAAACACATTATACATCTCTCCTCTCTGCACTACTTTCCACTTAAACAATTGAGTTCAAAATTTTCTTCAAGACATTGAAGATGTCTATGTCCTGGGGCAATATCTAAAAAAACAGCTTTCAGGACTGGGACTGTTGCAGATCTCCCTGCCTCACACTCCACCTGAAGAAGGCATTTGTATTTTCCCAGTAGGAAAATGAGATCATGACCAGGTAGGAAAACCCCCAAGCTGAACACTGTCAAAACCCTGCTCTGCAGTCAGAGTCCTCCCATTTAGAGTGAGGGAAAAGAAAACCACCTGTAACAAAAGCAATGCTTCTCAGTAGAGGGTGTTGTGGTAATAACAGTCAGAAAATTACACGTGCAGCACCAAAGAGAAGTGCAGTGACGCTGCCCATCCTGCAGCTGCAGGACCAACAATGCAAGTGCTCCTGCTGCTAGTAGGCAGCACCCTGTTCTGCATAGCTCAACCCCATTTTGAAGAGTACGGTGAACCACCTGTACTGATACAGCTAACACTCTTTGGAAAACACCACCAGACCTGCTGAAATGTTGATGACCCTTTACTGTCCCCCTGCTCTGACACAGCCCTGCACTGCTTACTTCAATGTAAATCACTCTAGTCATCAAAATGACAGGTGAAGAAAGGAAAGGAGGAACTTCTGCCTTCTCAGGTTTGCTCCCGCATCTCCGCTGGGGATTCCTTTACTGCAAACAGCCTGAGTATTATTGCCATTTACAGTAGCAATCACTCCGGCCCCTCCTCTCCCACAAACCTACTGCTGATATTAGCACTGATCATACTAACAAGCCTGTGGGTTTTATTACTACTGATACTAATAATACTGGACACATTACATCTGCTCCCGCCAATAACGGGCTGCAGATATGATTCCTGCTAATGCTGATAATACTGGGGGATATTATCTCTGCCATTGTGGGCACTGCAGATATTATTGCCAGTAATGCTGTCAAATACTACAGGTATTGTCAGGGACCAAGATTAAAAATGCTAAGAATGTTACAGCACCAGCCTCACTGGAAGACTAATCCCAAATGAGAATTTGGGTCTACAGAGGAAGTCTGTTTGTGGCCTGCTATGGAGAGAAAGAGTTATCTCTAGTAAGAGTGGTTTTGTAAAGATCCCAAAAGTTTCATCCAGGTGGAGATGCTGTGGTATGCAGGGAACAGTTTGAAATATTGTTTTCATATTATCGGATTATCTATCTATTTCTCCATCTATCCATCCATCTATCTATCCGTCCTTCCCTTTCTCCACATCTCTCCCTTTTTCTCCTTATACAGTGCCCAAGACTACAGTATGAGTGATACTGATTTTTTGTTAGTGCCGCTGGGACTCATCCTTTTAGCTATCAATCAGGGGGTTATGGAACAACAGAAATATTTGCATATTATTTTTCCCCTTTATCCTTCTGGACTTCTTACTGCTGCTCCGTAGTCTGACAATGACCCTGCTGAGCTTGGCCTGCCATCACAGCACAGTACAACATTGGGATCATGAAGAACCAGGAATTCCTGTTTCCAGCTGCAGCTTGATACTGCAAGACACTCAGTGGTCTTGAGAAAGTCATTACATGCTGCAGGGCCACTTCTGCCTCTGGAAGATGATGGGTGTAAGCGGTAGGGAAGGTCAGAGGGAAATTACAGCAACATTGGCTGTGCCCATAGGCTGCAAGAAATGGCACATGCTGTGCTACGCAAGTGGTGGTGAATTTTTTTAGCCAAATTATTTAAAAAATCATAGGAGACCAACTCTATGCTTTGTCTAACCTGTCACAGAAGGCAGAGGGTTTATAATCACTGGTCAAAAACTGAAACAAAAGGAATACATGGTCTTAACAGGGCAAATCCTGACCACCCTTCCTAGGCGCTCACCTGAGGAAGACACACTGAGTTTTGAGGAAAGACCTGTGATCTGACAGTTCCTTCTTGTGACTAGCAGACACTCAGAGCTACCTCCCTGCTAGCTCTCTCTCTCAGTGCCATAGTCTTCCCAGGCCACCCTTGCAGTTGCAACCAGCACATTTGGTAGGTTGGGATTTTCCCTCTTCCCTCTAACTCCCTGTGAGGGACACACCTGGCTGTCAGCGTCCATCGCTGAGCCCACCTCATGCATCCGTGTGGCTCCTTCTGTCCAACTCAGGAGTTCTGCTACATCATCTTGACACATAATTATCTCTCCTCTTCTTAATCAACTGTGCTACTGTCTAATGCAGGCACCAGCTGCAGCAAGGAGGACCTGGGGGAGGGGGTGTGCTCAGATAGAGGCTCCTCTGTCTTTCTCCCACCCTGTTCCCCCCCAGCCATCACAGAGGTTGCTAACAAGGTTTTCAGAACCGGGGATTTGGGGGCAGTTTGGTACTTCCCCCCTTTCTGCTGAACTGCATTCCTCACAGAGGAATCCTTGCAGCAGAGCTGGTCCAACAGAGCAGAAAGAAAGAGAGAGCAGTGCTGCTTCTTCTGCCACCTTTAGAGAAGAGCCACCCCCAAAATGCTGGGAAAGTAGATGTGCATTGGGAGCTTGTAAGGGCTTTTCAATGCGAGAATAAACCCTGCAGTTAAGAAACTGCAACAAAACAGTGCTTAGAAGCTCTGGGAAATGCTGAGAAGGTATACGCATCCAGCATAAGCGTGAAAGAAATACCTGCACCGGATTTCTTGCTAGACTTTCCTAATCCTCATCTCAGCTAAGAACAGAGCCCTCAGAGCTACATGGGAGATTGCCCAGGAGTGAGTGCAGGTCACTGGCTGTGCAAAACCTTCCCTTGGGCCCTTCTAGCCTTAGGACCCAACCCTGCAAAGTGACGATGTCTTTCAGCTTTTCTCAAGGCAGCGGGTGGGAGCCCAGATAACTCAACTCTTGGCTAGGGGTGTTCAGCAGCTGGCAGGGGGTCCTATGCGAGGTTTCTCTGGGATAGGAGGAAGGCTGTTCTCTAAGGCAGTTGCAGCTGTGTCATGTAACTGCTGCCTAAAACTCTGAGAGCTAAAGACAAGCAACATCTCCAGGATTGTCTGGCACCTTTTTGATTCCTAGTGGCATATGCGTGGTCTTGGCCAACAGCAGGGAGTTGCAGAGTGTTGCTTGCCCTTCATAAATCAAATCTGGGATGAATTAAGGACAGACACAGAGAGTTGTTCTTGCTGTCAATGTATCATTGTGAAGTGTCGCAGTCTTAGATGGCTGCTTGGTTGTTTCTGTGTTTAATCGTACTGCTCCAAAAAAGCTCAGGTTCTGAGGCTGGAAGTGACTGTGTGGCTGCATCTAAAGTGGGATGATCTTTCCAGGTATTTGGAAAGAATAGCCACTAAAGCCAGACTGAACTGCTTCATTTCAACGTGAGATATGGAGGCACCATGTTGAGAGCTGGTGATCACCATGCTGGACTGTATGAGAACAGGGGTTCTCAAAACCCCCAAATAACTGCCAAGAGATTTGCACAACCACTTGTCACTCAGTTTGAAATGTCAGTTTCCTGTATATGTAATGATGGGAAATGCTGGAGGCGTTTGCAATGTTTGCAGTCTCTCTCTCTGACATTTTTTGACTTTGAGGCATTGACTCAGCCCTTCCATTGCTACGCTTTTCTCTTAGCTGGGCCCTACTGCCATCTAGCTGGGAAATGGATCTTCCTCTGGGGCCTGATCCAATTTCCAATGACATTAGCAAAAATCTTCCCATTTGCTTTAATAGGAGATGGATCGGTCCTTGCCTCTAGTTTTACTTTGTATTAGGGAGAAAGGTGGTCACGATGACTGCCTTTTTTTCTTGGGATTATTGTGTTTATTTGGATTAAAAACTTACAGAGGTCAACCTCACCAGAACCAATGCTGAGAAAATCACTAGCCAAACCCCAAAATGCTGCATTTCTCTCAGGAAAGCTTTCTCTTCTCACCACGTATCACAGAGAACCCTCATGTTCTCTTGCACCGCACAGCCTTGGGGTAACAGCACGTGCAGCACACTGAGACACCTGTACTGCTAAGAGGTCCCCCCACGCAACAGGCAATAGTGGAAAACAACATACTGAAGGCAGGGCTGAACGAAACAAAGTGGTCGGGCACTACTCTTAGAAAAGTTCACCTCCTGGCCCTCAATTTCTGAATGCATCAAATTAAAAGAGCAAGATTTAAGAAAAAAAGTTTACAAAGCCACCGTAAGAGCACCAAGACCTTACCCACTCCTCCTGACTCAGCCTATCAAGACCTGAGGCTCCAGCTTTTGGCTCATTTCAGGATTCACTTTGCCCTGAGTCCTTCTCAGCAGGTAGGAAGGAAAAGGAAATAGATTAATCCTAATTCCTTAGAGCCCTAGCGAAAGGCTTATGTAACAACCTTGGGGCCACAGTACTCAGAAGACCTCCTGTTCTGCTTTCAGACTGTGGCAAGCATGGCAGTTCTGCTGTGGTAGATGCTAGCCATTGAAAACTGGGCCCTTATGATGCCTAATGTAGCTCATGGCACGTCACAGGGCAGGAACTTGTTTGCAAGGGGAATGAAAGATAACTCCCACATTGCTGGTGCTTCTCCACGATGGCATTTTGTTTGAAAACGAGTGAGTCGGGGAAACCATGTTTACCCGCAGTTCAAAGTCCGGGCACCTGCTGGCACCTGGGGAGTTCAGTTCCAGCCGTTTCCAGCAGTGAATGAACTTGGGATCAGCTCCAGCAATGGAGACGGCTCTCTGCCTGCCGAGCAGATGTCTGGAGACGCAGCCTGTCATGAAAGGGCCTCGGAAGAAGAGCATTCCAAGCCAGCAGGGCAGTGGCGGGGAACTGGTCTCTGTTGCTAAAACTGATCTAGCCCCTGGAGCAGCTGCAAACCTTGGCCTGAAATTGGAGCCTGTACATGGGGACAAAGAATATAAAAGGGAGGATGAGCTTCTCCCCTCCCCCTACCTTCATCACGTTTCCTCTTCTCGCCATTCGACCGAGGAATCCCCAGGATCCCGTTAATGGAGTAAGAGCCCACTGGATCATTGGAGGCACTGGAGACGGGAGGGGATGCTGTGCTGGGCACTGGACAAAAGGAAAAGGGAAAAAGGGCCATGAGGAGAGCAGCACAGCACTCAGGGATCCCCCAGCGGAAAGTACGCATGCCACCAGTCTCATAGGAAAGCCTGGGCACTAAGCAGACTCCCAGTCCCTCACACTGAAGGACTCATACTCTCTCTACTGCTAATGTTGCTGCATCCCAGCTTTGCCAGTCCACTCCTATACCGTAGCTCCACAGCCTTCCAGTACAGGGCCATTAATAACAAGCAAGTGTATTCCATCAAGAAGTTAAACCTTGTTGTTATATCCCAATTCAGAGCAGGCTTTCCAGTGAATGCCATGGTAACTGAGTGCAATGCAGCATAGACCACATTCTCTAGTGACTTCCTAGTCTGTCTGTATTTTGCCAGATCATTTCCTCTAAGCATTTTTCCACTAGGAGAGCACATGTTCTGTCTTAGCGAGACCAGCCTCTTACGTGTCCACCCAAAACACTCATTGAAAAATTACCTTCTTAGCATAGGTTAGAAGCATTTCAGTGTTGGGCCAATAAATTCAGTTCCCTACTAGAACAAATGGTGAGTTGGTGATACATACTCCAACCCAGATTAACAAAAATCTAGTATCTTCCTTTTGCGCTGACGAATGTCAACTGGCAGACTCCTCCTGCTACTCAGGGCTGTCCAAGATGGCTCATGAGTTTCCAATATATTAGAAATGACAAGTCATCCAGATTAGAAATGATAATCAGGGCTTTAGAGAATAGAAGAAGTAGAGCTATGCATCCAGTAGGCATGCCCATTATGTCCCAGCATGTCCCAGTAATGGGGAGAATATCCCAGTTCTCTTACAGGCCACTACCCATCATTCAGCTCATAAAGCACTGACCTGAAGCAATCAATGCCTCCAATACAAGCCTTCCAGGATGGAGCAGAACCTGTCAACACTATCAGATGTGGACCCACACTTCCCAGTACATCCCAGAGCAATGAGAGACTCCAGTAGCAGCACTCACAATCACTGTCCCAGCTCAGCCAATGCATTCCCTAGACATTGCACTACTTTTCCAAGAAGGAATAATATCTGCCAACTCCATCTGTTGTGGTCAGTGGTTCCCAGTCCAGTGAGCAAGTCCAGATTAAAAGGGCATCCAGAAATGCTCTTCCATACTGGCCTATTAATGTCATTGTGCTCCTGAACACAACTTGTGTACAGGATTGTATCTGCCAGCTCTGTCCCATGTGGACCAGCACTTTCAAGTAAATCCTTGTATAGCAGCTGATTCTCAGTAACCAACAGTATCTAAGACATTGTCTTAGGCCATGAATAAGCCACTGTATTTCACAGTATCCCAGAATACTGCATGTTTTTTCCTGCTCTGAATTGTTACTGGATAAAGCTATGCTAGCAACAGCAGACATATGCACCATGCAGCCTACAGAGTGAAAAGTACCTCAACACATCTAGCACAGTACCTTTAAACACAACAGACTAGGAGACATTTGGTCACTTTATTACAGTCTCCATCTTCTGCTCACCTCAATAAACCCATCTTCCCCAGCAGAAAATGCATTTTCTCAGTGAAATACACCCATGGGATACCTGACTGCAGAGCTAGAACAATGAAGAACTCAGTTGTGAGGCATCAAGAATATCTTACCCATGCCTGTGTATTACTAGCTTTAAGAAATGGACCAGTTCCAGCAAAGAGAAAGAAGAGAAATTGGGAGAGAGAGAGGAAAAGTGAGTCAGAGTAAGAAGACAAAAGGTGAAGACTGGTGCTTAGATAGGATCGCGGTAAATACTTCGCTTTAGGGAGGCGAAGGAGAGAGTGTGAACGTGAAATGGATGTTAAGGCAGAATCACTTTGGGCAAACCCCTACCTTGGGCTAGTTTCTCTGCCATGATTCCCTTCTCTGCGATGCAATGAGGGAAACAGAGAACAGAAACCTCGAATTTCCATTGAGGTTTCTTTCCCCCTACCCCCTCCTCCCTTTTGCTCTGCTTAGCATCTGCCTGTCAGACTTTGTTCCCTCAACTAAGCTTCATCCTCATTTCCACTTGTCCTGTCACCACCCCTCATGCCAGTCTTCTTACCAATAGTATGTCCTGGTGCAGTCACACCTGTCCCGCTCCCGTCTGGTGTTGGGTGAAAAGGTTGCTGAACTTTGGTTCTGATGATCCTGGAAAAGAGTAAAACATGTTCAGAACTCAACTGCAACTTCTCTGTGCCTTTGCATACCCGCGATCCCAGCTGTCAGAACCTGCAGGCCTGATCTGAGCAGCAGAGTGGCTTCATTTGCCTTCTTGTGGTCCTGATTCTACTGCTTTAATGGTCCAGTTCCCAGAGAATCGTCCTTGCTCTGCTCTGTCATCTTGTCCCCAAATTTGGGTATCCACTGCATAACTATGGTGCTCAGGGAATGAGCTAGGATCTCCTGTGTGGTAGCAATTGCATTATCATTTATGATCTGATCTGTCAGCATGATCACAAGGCAGTCTTTGCAGCTAACAGAGCCACTGCTGGATTTACAAGTGGTGTAGATTTAGTTTTATTATGTACCGAAAAAATACCTTTCTGGCATAGAACTGAATGCTTTGAACTGATGGAAGGCTTGCCCAAAGCCCTTGCCCTTCATAAATGAGAAGGTGGGAGCAGAAGGCATCTGGAGGAAGTGGTGATGGGATATAGATCACTAGGAAAAAGACGCTCCAGCAAAGACGGCGAAAATTGGTGTTTATCAGGTGGTGAATTAACACAGCATGGGAAGTCAAAAAGATGTCTCAGTGAATGCCACAAAGCTCATAACGCAGCTCAGAATGAAAATAAACTGAACTGTAATTGTCAGTGCTCCCTTTCTTGTTACATGAAATCTTTCACCTCTAGGTCACTGGTTGAAATCCAGCTGAGGTCAGTGGTGAAAGAAAATCGCTAGCACCTAGTAAGTGATGGGCAGGGTCCCTGCCTATTCGCAGATGCTGGGTATCTGTGACTCAGGAACGACTGTCTCACCAAGGAACTCGGCAAATAAGCCATGACCTGTGGAGGCCATGGAGACCAAATTCCTTTCTGAGAATAAAACGAGCCCCTCCAATTTAGGGTGAAGGCTGCAGATGCTCTTCAGCCTGAGTTTCTGGAACTCTCAGCCCTGCATTATATTAGCTTTAACCTCTCCCCAAAAATCTCTCCAGAAAGTGAAAGCAAATAACACATTCTTCCTGCCCACCCGAGAGCTTCCCTTAAAGATTCCTTCTAAAGAATAAGTTGGAAAAACTTCAAAGAGCAAATGTGTGTCTAGTGGCTGGGATGGCATGGGTAGAGATAGGCAGAGACGTTGAGAGGGCATTTTTGCAAAAGCACAACTCCTGAGAGTGAAACCTTCTTAGAAAAAGAAAGGTATTTCAGAGCGTATTACCCCAGCATGTTAGGAAACTGATACACACATGACGAAGCCTGGGCAGTAGCTGGAGCAGCAGAGAGGCTGCCTGGGATGTAGCTGGAGACAGGGAATGTCAGGGTTCTAGCTGGGGATGGAGATGCAGATCCTCACCCCGTATATGTCAGTGGAACCAGGGGCCCTAATCTATAGCTGCTGAGGACCTGTACAGAAGGGGTCTGAGGGCCTCAGGGCCAGATTCTGAGGTCATGCTGATTTGCACTAGCTGAGGAGCTGATCTGAGAAGTCTGTGCTAGGGCAAATAATATAACTTTTGTCTTCTTTTCTGTTTTTTTCTTTTCTTTTCTCTTCTCTCACATTCTCCCTAAAACCCCCTGAAGTGCCACTCTGGTTGTGTGAGTTTATTGATTTCCCCCAGCCCAGAGAAACAGAAAGAAGGGATGGGGTGCAGGCAAAGGGATGGAAATAGAAAGCTATAAATTATTTGTGACAGGAAAGCAATAGTGCCAGAGTGCTGAGCACAAGTCCCGTGTCACTATTAGATTCCTTTTAGCCTGATGACACTGTAAAAGAGGTTAAGTGTCTGATGGAATCGTACACCTTGGGGGCAGGGGCAGTCCAGGAGCAGAACAAGCCACAGAGAGCGGGTATATCAATTCTCCAGGCCAATAATATTCCCCTCATTGATCGCAACACAAAGTTCAAAAATCTCATTATAGCCAGGCAGACCTGGAACTTTTTAAAAATCAATAGAGTGATATAATGTATGTATACTTTGTATAAATGTATCTATCCATCCATCCATCCATCCGTCTACCCAAAATCTGCCTGAGGGTGTCTAAGTTAACCTACACATTATACTGTGTTATGTTCTATTGTAGTGTAGCATAGTGAATGGATTAGAAGATTTCCCCTGCAGCCTTAGATGACATATTATAAAACGTCCTGTTAGCACTGCGGTGACATCAGGCGGTTCCATTCATACTGAGATATGACATCAGATTCGCCATTTGTACTGGGAGGTGGCATCAGACAGGTTGACTTCTACTGAGGGAACCATAAGATGAGCCTAATTATACTGAGATGGCCAATCAGGCTGTGCTGAATCATGCTGCATGAAAATTGTAAAGTTTCGAAAAGCCATTTAGAGTGAAAACAGCCTGTGAAATGATGGTGGTATAAAATGCCTGTCCATAATACTTCAAAAACCCAGGCAGGGGACAAAGAGGAAGGTTCAATTTCCTTCCCTGTTCAGTTCGTGGTCTCTCAGCTGAGAATGCCAGTTAGTGCCAGTTGTGACTGTGTTTACTGAGGTGTGTCCATTAGGAACTGGAATGAGACTCACCAGCTCATTTCACCAAGTAGCCGTCAGCTGGTAATGATTTTCGGTCACTACCAACCAGGGCCAGATTTCAGCTAGTGACCCAGAGGTGAAAGGCTCTGTTCAAAAACGTTCCCCTCCTAAGAATGAAACTGGGTTTATGTCAAGAGAAAGTGTCTGGAAACAGTGAGCAAAGGGGAGCCGTTCTGGTCATGCAACCTCCAGTGGCTTGGATCAAATAATTCTTGGCATCAAATGCACAGCAAATCTAATGAGGTCTCAGGTAGAAGGTATTTCCTATGGCTAAAAGAAGAGGCAAGTCATGAAGAGGCTCCCCCCAGCAGTGCTCCTTTGCCCTACAGTCACGACCAAACTCTAGTCTTGTAAGGAAAGAGGAGAAATTTCAGGACCCTAACGTTCAGTACAGAATACGGCAGTGCATCCCCCTGGGTCAATTCATTTAGGGACAGTGATATACAGCAGGATAGCTGGGCATCACTGCTGTTGCTTTAAGAGGCTTCGAGTGAGTCTGTCCTATATGAGACCACTTAATGAAACAGCAGATGAAAGATGAAGAGAGCTGACCTGGTCCTGTAGCAACAGATGCAGCATAATAATGCTGTCTTTAAACTTCGGGATTGCTGAAAGCTTCTCACCCTTACCAGAGACTGAAATACTCACTAAGCCAGCTCTGCTGCCTCAAACCTAGGATTTCTGGATTACTGCTCTGTAAGAGGGAGCAAAACCTTGATCACCTCTTGCTGCCTTTGATGGCTTGTTCTTGCCTCTAGACACTGGAGAAAGACAAGCCTTTTTGCAGAACACTTCCTCAGCCCTTCCCAAAAGCAGAAGGGACACAAATCCTGACACACCAGTCAGCAGTGCTGATTTCTTGAAGTAAATGCCAATACTTTCAAACATCTTTCTTTTCTCCAAAATAAATTGTCACGTTGGACTAAATTCATCCCAGCTGTAATTCCATCACAGTCAGTGACTCCAGTAACAGCATTTGTGTTTAATTAGGGGCAAAACTGGTACTTACTGTAAATTCCCATTTTTCTTTTTCCAGTGGGAGGTTTTTGCACAAGTCTACTTCAAGTTTCAGAGAATATACACAGATTTAATACATAACCTTCTGAAGTTTCAGCAACAGGACATTTATAGATCTTTGATTGCAGTAAAGCAACTGAACTTCATTTCACAATCTGAATTTAATATGCGATATTATCTTAAGTAATGGCATATAATGTCATTACAGTACATAGTATCATACTGTGAATTATACATCCGTTCCTGGAATTCATGAGTTACCATAGTTGGCTTATAGTAACTCTTTCTAGACTTAATACTGCATACAGCTTCAGCTCAAACCAACTGCCGGTTTCTAAATGCCTTTGACTTTCTTAAACGTTCAGCGTTAGATCATGAATTCCCAATATTTGATTTCTGTTTCGTTATTTTCAGCAGTTTTAATGCAATTCCTTTTGCTGATTCTGAATACAGATGGACAGACAAAAATCCTCTCTCCTAGTGTGACAAGCGCTAATCAAATTTGGTCAAGAATGTAGAAAGAAATATTAGAAGTTAAAATTAGCTGAGCCATAGTCCTTTCTGAGAAGCAGAACTTTCTTTCACTCCTTGTAAATAAGCAAGTAAAAAATCACTTCTAAACCTGTCCAGAAATTATTTGCTAAAAGAATGACAGGTCATAGGAAACGTCCCTCGCTTCTCTGACATTTCTATCCAAACTCTCTTATAGCCTGACATACCCTGTGGTTTCTCCTCTCTTACTCTTGCTGGCAGAGTCTTTAAACAGTATCTCAAACAAAAAAAATCATACAGAGGGAGATGAGGTAGGTCTGAATCATCTGGAGTCCCAATCTAGCAATTCTTTTAATCCTGGAAAAACAGAGTGAAGTTGCACTAAGGGAGAGAGTGATGTGTCCTGCTACCCCAAGGAGACCCTGACAGATTTCAGAAAGCACTGGTATCCTCACTTTGATCATATTCCTTTGTCACGGATTATTTTTCAGAGTGGAAGGATACACTCAGCAGAGCACCAAACTCTTTGTAATTGTTTTGGAGTATTCATATTTTAAATGCTCCATATTAGAAGCACATTACAAGACCCCAGGGTGTGCATTACTGGGCAATTAAAGCGGTTCTTGGAAGGCTAACATTGCGAAGCTTCAGCCTTTTCTCTGCAGCGTGTCCAAGGGAGGCTGTGATGGCCAAGGAACACACACCCTGCTGTGCCGCACTGCTTAATTAGCGCAGGGCTGGACTGCTGAGCTACGGGCTGTGCCGGCGGTAGAGACAAGGCAGCCTGCAGGGGACTTGGTGCAGGGCTAAGCGAGACAGTGATGCCTTCTCCGCATCAGATTGCTTCCTACAAAAGGGCTCATGACCATCCCAATGATGCTGGTGTCAAAGCATGCCTGAGGAAAAGAGGGAGAACATGGGATGGGAGGAGGCAGCTCTGGACTCCTTGGTGACAGCCCCATGGAGCCAACAATATCCCACCTGCAGATTGGTGCTGCGCAGGCATAGAGAGCTCTGAACATGGCTTTGGTTCAAATAGGAGAGAGTCTTATGTTTCTGTGCATGGATCGAGACACAGCGAGACACAGAACTGAATTCACAGTTGTGCAAAAGAAGGGCGGTGGGGAGTCTTGTCTGCACAAAGTTCAAAATGGAGAGCAAGCTTCATAGCATGGTGAGGAAAAACAACCAAGGGATTTGGGGGGTGAAGGAAGGGAAATGGAAA